GCTCAGAGAACACAATACAACCAAGATTAGGAATAAGCATCACCCAGTCGTCCCACGATCCTTCCTAGTCCCTACAGATCCATTCAGTCAAACACCACATAGACGACTGTGTACTGGAATACAGTCGAGGAGAGCACTTTCTGGCCTACAATCCAATGCTATGCCTTCACTAGCTAGTCTACGAGAGCTAGCCATGGGGTCTCCAGTGGATTTTGAAGATTCACTACTATGGCCAGATGAGGTTTGTTTCATAATAAAACCCGGGTCCCGTATACGTGTTTCAGAGACACAGCATACATCCATAACTAGAGTTCTGGCGAGCGATGTTTGCTGTCCGACTCGGCATAGAGTTCGGACATTGAGAGCTCCTTCATGAAGTCGATGGTGGGGTCTTAAGAGACTAGGAATGAGAAATTTCGATGGCTTTGTTCGTGGGCAGTGGTCAGAAAGTAAGAGGTTGAGGAAGTCACTTGAGGTTTATCATTCATACCACGTGAAAGCAGTGGAACAAATAGTGGTAAGGAGGATAGATTGTTTGATTAGGTCTTCTAAACTATTAGGAGAGTAAGGTAGATTGATACATTTTGGATACCCACACTGCCAAAGGCTAGTTCTCCTTCAAGAGCGTGAGTTAGAATGGTTTATTTATGACCGCAGAGGGTATGGGGCATCTGCTTGAGGCCAGTCACATATGTCCGTTTCGCAAGTTTGAGATTTCACTTTTCTGCTCTTGAATCCGACTACAAGCCGATTTAACCGGCACTAGCTTGCCGCAGAGTAAAGGAGAGTATGTTACTTTTAGGGTTGATCTTTCATAATCACCGTTGCTACTAGGACGGTAGCATCAGGGTGGCACTACTGGTAACCCACAGGAAATACCCTACTGCTGTTACACTCCATTCGAGTCAGTAGCACAACTTCGCCTTCGGATCGTCGCCATTACGTAATGATTCAAATCTTTTGTCAAATCATTATCCAACAGACCTTTCTAGTATGGTACGACCTCCAGGGAACGAGTGTCCCACCAGTATAGCTTGTTGGACCATTGTGATATGGAAGCCTAACCATTATTTCAAGGAAGCAGCTATCGGTCGACCATAGTATAACTAGTCGACAGCAATGCTTCAGTTACCTTAAATCCAGCTTGAGTGTGTGTGGGACGTAGATGTCGGCGGTCCAACTGTCGCGGAAGTTGGGAAAGCTGCATTGAACCTGAAACAATGCAAAGCAGCATGACAATTTGCCACCTGAAATTTTCAAGGATGGAGGCGTGAAATTGCTAATTAAAGTGACGAGGGTACTAGTTTGTGTATGGGAATCAGAGGTAGTGTCGTCAAATTGGTGTACTTCACTGGTCACCATAGTCTATGAGGAAAGAGAGATCAATCAATCAATCAATCCATATCAACATAGGACCAGGCATTACTGTGTAACGGTCCGAGTTGCCACACCTCATATCAGTACATCAAGTAAAAAGGTAGTGAGGTGAAGGATGAAGATAAGAAAATGCAGTCAAAAGACATATAAATTACGAAAGATAGAAAGGAAGAATGAGATGGTGAGATTCGGTATGGCGTCGTTTAGATGAGGATAATGTGTGTATACATCTGCTCCACTGACATCGGTTCTGGGCCATATCACCTAGAGTTTCCAACCACTGGCTTCGCTTCTCCCGCGGACTCCAACCACCCAGTCTGCATCGCCCTCCATACACGGCTCAAACCAACAATCAGAGACTTCATACATTAATGACATGTTTTAGTCTGGCCGCCTCGAGCCATTTTTCAGCCTGGACCTACTTCGGCCAACATTGTGTGACGAGGCCATCGGCGACTAGACATACGTAACACGTGTCCCAACCATCTCAGTCGATGAAGGTTCATAACCTCGTCAACTGATTTACCTCTACTCCCTAAAACTCTACTCCTGACTTCTGCGTTACTCACGTGGTGACACCATGGAATACGGCTTATACTACGAAGGCAACGGTGGTCAAACACTTCTCATGTCTTCCACCTTCAATGGCCATGTTTCACAGCCATACAGTAGGACAGACCGAACTGCAGTGCAGCATACGCGACCCTTAATAGACAATCGGATATCACGGTGGCGCCATAGGTGGCATAAGTTGGCGAAAGCCAGTCGAGCCTTTTGTATCCGTGCAGCGATTTCATCGGCTTATTTTATGACAAGTAGTATTACGTTATATTACTTTGCTTTGTTCCTTTATCTACAATTAGATTTAAGAAACTGCACTATTAGTCGGGCAGTACTAGAGGGAGCTGCTTTTGTTTTTATGCCGCTTGAAGGCTATCTATAAAGTATTCCAAAAAGCTAACTAAGATGTACTTACGATGTGAAATTTAGGTCCAACAACTCTTACTGCCAGAAGGATGGAGCTGCAATGAAGTTTTAACCAAGCCCACCTGTAGATATCTCTAAGCTGGAAACAGCTGTACTAGATTCAATGGTTAAACAGTCAGAAATACACGCAACATATACTGACAAATTCATCATGTGACAATGATGTTATTCCTTAATTACCTTAATGATCCGAAATGTACTACATTTGACTATTCCATTCCTTGACACATTACTAACGGAGAATAGATCTTTTTTGAGCTCATTTGTCGAAAACCTACGTTGATTGAAAGATCAGCTACTTTCCACAGCTGGAAGAGAAGCTTAGTCCATCCCCTATCTTTTCGAATCCGAAAATTGCAAATCCAGCACACTGGAAGAACTAGTTTCTGAGGTACATATTCATCAAAAATGGATATCCAGAAAATCTGTTGACAGTAAAACAATACACACCAGAAACCGTTAGTGAAACACGAAACTACTTCTGAATTTGACCTTCAACAGTGAAAGGAATATCCTGAAACACGTTTAGCCTAACATCTTGTCACATCGAATCACTTGTATTAGCCATCCAATAGTCAACATTGGTATGGCTATTGCTGGGTGTTTCACTATGTATGTATCACTTCATCTGCTTTTGTGGAGCTAGGTATATAGGTTGTACGCATAAGCAACATGTCTGCCATTAATGAGAACATCTTACACAAAACGTCCTATCCCACAACACCCAATGGGAACAGTGAACCCGATCTCCAGAGATTCGTTTCGTTTAGTTTACGTGATTATCATTTTGACCATCTGCGAAAGCCGTGGTTTGGCAGACTAGTATTTATACTGGTCCGAATTTTCATTTTACCTTCACCCAGTATAAAAATCTCTTATACAGTGCTGAAGCTCTAGCAGCATGAGAGTGAATACAGTAGCTAAACTAACAAAAGTTTTTAACATAAAAACTACGATCTACTTTTTTAAATGAGAAGGGAGCACATATACGACGTAGAGTAATTACACTTATTCACAGGCACGAGTCAGTCCTAACAAATACCAAATAAAGAATCGCGTGTTGAGTCATTGAACCCTGTTACGCCATAGATTTATAAAATCAGAGAGTATCTTTTCGAATCCATGCTGGGAGACGCATCCCAAACATTCTCAAATTCCCACTCAAAGTGTTCAGAAGACTCTGCATCTTGTCAGCGTCTTCACCTAACCCGACTATGCCATCTGCATATTCTAGGTCCAACGAAAATTCCCCACCGATTAGGTCAACCTCTGTGTAGTCAGGTGGTGAGAGGGAGACAGACCTCCATAAAAATATCTATGAAAAAATTGAATAAGAATAGAGACAATGGGCATCCTTGACGAACACCGCTCAACAAGTACAGCTCCCCGGAAATCTCACCACAGGCTCCAACATGCCCACAAGTGTTCGAGTAGAGTCTTCAACAAGGTGATGTACTTACTCGGCACGCCTTTCAGTGAGAGACATTGCCATAAGACTTCTCGACCAACGGAGTCGAGTACCGCCGCGTTCACGTCAAGAAATACAGCTATCGTCACGCGTCGGCAAGCGTTCCTGTGTTTCAGAGCCTGGTCGATACACCCTTGGCCAGGTCTAAAGACTCCCTGCCCCCAACCTCCACTTGGGCGTTGAAAAACTATAGAACTTTAGATACCATGTTTCTGAGCCTGATTCCTCTGTGGTTGTAGTAGGAGGAATTTTCGCCTTTCTTGAAGACTGGGGTAATCAGTGATTTAGACCAGTCAGAGGGGATCATATCTGATTCCCATATACTGGTTAACACTTCCGTTAACCTGACTAAGAGCACTCTACCACCACCCTTGTATACCTCAGCAGGTAGTCCGTCTGGTCCTGCTGCCCTTCCTCGTTTCAGGTTACCTACCGATTTCCCAACTTCTAGTGTTGGGGGACCTATTTCAATGTTCCATTCAGGATTCGACTGGATAGCGGGCAACGCAGTGGTGGCTACAGGCCAGTTAAACTCTTCCTAGAAGTGTTTTGTCTATCGTCACAGTCATCTCACCTGCGAGTGAATCGCAGATCCCTCCTTCTCCGCTATGGTCTCACTAACCGCAGTTGACCTTTGCCCTTCAGTCTGCTTAGTAGGTCTAAATAACTGTCTACTATTACCGATCGCCACTGCCTTTTCCATCTCTAGCCTTCGTTGCCCACCACTGTTGGCGATCGTTGCGTAGAGTTTTCATCAGTCTACTTTTAAGTTGCGCTCGCTCTTCATTGTGCTCAGAGTATGCAGGGATGCGTTCACGTGCATCCATTAGTTCGGAAGAAGCTGCTGGTATCCACTGACTCTTTTTAGCCACTATTTCACAGTCGGCTACGGTCTTCAGTGCTGCTTTTACAGCAGACTGGAGATGGCACCAAGCTTCTTCTGCATGAGTGATAGTCTTCTGTCCCGATAACTGCCTAGTCAATTTCTCACTGAAAGCGGCTTTGGTGTTTTCGTTGTCCAGAAGCACTCGTAGTGGTTTTGTCGCCAGATCTTTCTTACGTCCATTGAGACGCAGGCATAAACGCGCTCGGACCAACGTGTGGTCGCTACCCAAACACGTACTCCAGAAGGAGTGGCAGTCTTCCGCCGATCATCTCCAGCGATGACTAATACCAATGTGGTCTATCTGTGTCTATCGCTGAGTTGAGCTCGGTGGACGCCACGTCAGACAGTGTCTTTCTTTATATCTGAGATTTGTGCTAGCTTAAAATAAGCGGTTATCTGAGCACAGTTGTAATAGGCGATCACCGTTACCTGTACATTCCATCGGGACTCCGAAAGTGCCACCTAAGTGCCTTTCTGCCTCACTCAGTCTACCCACCTGTGCGTTGAGGTCACCTGCAACAATCACCACTTCCGAATGTTTGGCTTTCGAGAGGAGGCTAGACAGTTTACGGTAGAACTCGTCCTTCACTTCATCCGAACTGCAGTCAGTGGGTGCGTAAGCAGAGATTACAAAGAGACAACGGCGAGTCTCACTATTCCTTTCAGTTCTCGCTGTGCCGTTCAGCCGCATAGCGCAGAGGCAACTATCAACTGGGATCCAGTCTAGTAGTGAGTTTCCTGCCCTAGTGCTTAGTGCTATGCCTACACCTGCAAGACCACGAGAGCCAGAGATCGAATCTCCAGAAACTCGAAGGGTGAATCTTGCAGATTCACCAGATTGGTCGGGAGAGGTCAGGTGAATAACTACACTTGGGTCCTGTATGCGTGTCTCACGAACACAGCACACATCCATGGCCCGAGTTGCTAGAGTCTGCCAACGAAACCTGTTGACTAATTTGAAGGAGGGTGAAAACATTGAAGGCTCCAATATGTAATTTGGAATGTGGTTTAAGGAGACCAAGTATGCTGTTTTGTGGACTCAGATCGTTGTCGAAGGCTGCAGAACTAGGAGAAATTGAAGATGATGTAGTATCGTTAGTCGAGAGACGTGAAGGAAGATTAGAAGGTAATGATGAGGGAGGCGGATAGCAGTCTGAAGAAACTTGAGTGCTGATAGAGTTGTGAGAGGGGTTGACACTTCCCGGCTGCCCACACCATGGAAGGCTATTTCTTCCTAAGGTACCTGAAAGAGATTTGTGTGACCGCAGAGCTCATGGGACATCTGCTAGAGGCCTGTCACACACAGCCTTTTGTGTACCATTAGTTTGAACTTTTGCTGTTTTGGAGCCGGATGGTCGGAAAGAAACGATAAATGAATCAACACCGCCGATCCGGCAGACCGTAAGGTATGGTTGTGTTTTTTTGGGGGAGGGGCGACCTTTTCTAAACCCGCCACTTCCACTGAGAAGGCAGCATCAACATGGCAGTGGTGGTCATCCAAGGGAAACACCTTACTGCTGTCACACCCCATCCAGCTGACAGCAGTACGACTTCGCCCTCAGACTCCCATCATAGTGTAGTAATTTACACCACAACGGTAACAGCTTTTCGTCTAACCACTATCCAACAGACCTTTCTGGTATGGTAGGACCTCGAGGGAACAAGCGTTCCACCAGCATAGCTCGTTGGGTCATTGTGATATGCAAGCCCGACCACCACGTCAAGGTAGCCGCTATCGGTTGGGAGAAGGGAGGAAAATCTAGTGACAACCATGGAGGAATTAGTTTGACTGCTATTGCATCCAAGATACTGGAATCCATAGGTATTCGACGCCTAGCTGGAGCCACAGAACTGCAGACTCGAGTAAACCAGTCAGATCCGAGAATTGGACGAGGGCACATCGGTCATATTTTCCTCCCACTGCAGTTTTAGGAACACAGACATACTTACCGGGAACCGATGCTCACCACCTTTCTCGATCTTGAAGCGGGGTTTGACTGTTGACCGTGATGTGTTGTTGCAGTCTGTCCATGAAGGGCGTATCGAGCAAGTATATAACGCTTATCAGAGCTCTCTACTCGAACTCGCACAGCCGTGTCAGGGTTTATACAGAGTTGTCAAGTGAGTTGACCACAACTAGTGGTG